CTCCCTCCCTCCCTCCCTTCTTTCTTTCTTTCTTTCTTTCTTTCTTTCTTTCTTTCTTTCTTTCTTTCTTGTTCCTGACTTGAAGATGTCAGGTAGGAAAAGAAACTTTAATGCTTGTTTAATTGGAAAGCTCCCTAAATTGTAAAGCATCAAAATCATGTGAGATAAAGGGGAAAGTGCTGAGTACCAAGCTGGTGCCCTAACTATGGTCTTGGTTCTGACGTCTCCTAGGACTGTGAATTTGGACAGAGCATTCTCCCATCCTCTCACTACATGTGTCTTCACTGTCCTTGTTGAGACAACAGGCTGACAGGGCTCAGGGCTCTCTGAGGGACTGAGTCTTTAGGAACACAGGTAGAGAAGGAAACCAGAGAGTCCTGGGACTGTTTCAGCTGAAGGAGAGAGAGAGAGAGAGAGAGAGAGAGAGAGAGAGAGAGAGAGAGAGCGAGCTGGGTATGTAGACAATGTGACTAAGGGCCATGATTCTTCCTTCCACACATTTTCCACAATAGTACTTCACAGTTGGTGCTGTTCAACAGCAGTGTTCAGATATGAGAGAACTCAAGAATACAACTGCGTTGTTCAATCAAGCTGAGATTGGCTGAACTTTTCTGAAGTGGCAAATGTCCCTTTTCTGTTGTTGCACTAGTGTCTTCCCTGAAGCTTTTGGAGAACAGGAAAGTTTTCTTTTGCTGATTGGCAGGGCTGTTTGTGACACTCAAAGGTATAGAAGCAGACGTGATTTCTGTGACACTTGCACACTGGTACAATGACAGGCACCTTCCTGATAAGGGAGGTCATACCCTAATTTTGGTACATTTTACAGATAGCCACACAACCCTAGCCCATATTCCACACAAACTCCTAAAATGAATAGTCAGAGTGTGGTGACATATCCCTGTAATCTCAACCCGTGGGAGCCAGAGGCAGAAGAATCAAGGCAACCGGGCCAGGCTCTAGCTGCATAGAGATGTGATAGTCTGGTTATAGAAGACCATTTCTGCAGAAATAAAATAAAACCACTGGTTCTTAAAAATTAATATCGCCAATGTTTAGTGTCTTCTGATTAAAGGGAACTAGAGAAGATGCAGGAGCACAGGGCAGGAAGGAGGCTGAAGGTCTTGGAAAAGCTAGGTTGAGCTGTTTAAACAAGAACAGGCCATGTGGATCTGCAGACAGTCAAGAAAATAGATCTATACAGCAGCGGGGGAGAAAATAGAAGAACGGAAGGAAGGGAGAGCGTGGAACATGGAGATGTTACCCATGGCAACACAGAAACTGGAGACTGAATGCTGAAGGGGTCAAAAGACTTTATAGAAAACTAAATTATAGGGTGACACCGAGTAGAAAATACTCAGCACATGGCAAACAGAGGTGGATTTACTGAAAACGCAGGTTAATAGACCAGGAAGTACACTGAGGCTGGGACAGGGTGTGGTTAGGGTTACAGCTCATCAGGAAAGACACCATTGGTTTCCTCTCCCGATCCTTGAACACTGGTGGTCCTTAACAATTATGAAAATGAGCATTGTATAAACATATTGTACTAACAGTTCTGAGTGTCTGGGCTCATGGGTGAAATCTCAGCACCTAGGTGGCTGAAGCTGGGGGATTGGAGGTAGTCCATGGCAATTCTAGAATGTGTTGTGAATTACAAGCCATCTTAGGCCACAAAGTCAAAATTATCCCTGAAACAAAAAGTGAAATTCTTTCTGCATACTCACTGCTTGCTGGAATATAAAGGGCAGAGAGACAATGCTGGGTCCTTCTGTTCTCTGATCTCTACAGAACACAACGGTTGTAGGAAGTGTGGTGGACCCTGTGTCCCTTCAGATCAGCTTTCAAGCTAAAGCTGCTTGCTCCATTAAAGTCATTTTCTTCACTAGACACAGCACAGACTTGCAGAGTGTAAAGAACTATAGAGCTACAAAGAAAAAATAGGAACCCAACAAAACTCTAATTTATCAGATTTTTTTTTCAGGAAGTCTTGGATAGGGTACCAGTGTAGCTTTATGATATCATTCTACTTCTAAGACAATCAGTATCTGAATGGCCTTGGGTCCTTATGATGCAACAAATTAATTTTTTTTCCAGGTCCAGTATCTCTGATCCTGGGCATGTATGTGACTTTTTGTTGTTTGTTTCTGAAACCAATCAGTGTTGTCTCTTTACATGATTCTTATAAGTGTGTTCATATCATCCTCCCAACCATGTCTGGTAAGGAAAGAAATTTCAATATGACTTTCAATCAATACTTCCATTCATTCTGAGAAGTCCAGACAGTGTAGAAGTATGGGTAGATTACTGGATTACGGAACTATGACTGGTGGCCTAACTATAATCTTGGCCCTCACATATCTGGGATTATAATTTAGGGATGAGAATTTGCTCTGTCACTGACTGTATCTTCACATTTCACAGTGGAATAACTGACAGACTGAACTCTAGGCTCACTGATGTATTGCTTATGAGCACAGTGTAAAGAAAGTGCCAGGGAAGTTTTGATGAGGTTTTTTTTTTTTTTTCCCACAAAAGTAGAGAAAGACTGGGTGTGCAGACAGGCGCACTCAGAGTCAAGATGACCCACTGCAGCAGTGCGCCTCCACTCAATTTTCTACATCAGAACTTCCAAGTTAGTGCTGTTGAACAGCATTGTTGGCATGTGAGTGGAGCTGGTGGCCACATCTGCCACTCCTGCATGAGCAGGGAACCTTGGCTCATCTCGCTGGATAGGCATTTGTGTCTTACTCAGGGACCAATGAACAACCTTCATGGATCATTGTATTACACTTAGGATGGACCTTCCAGAGAGAGAACTGAGTCTGTGTTCCATTTTTATGACACAGGAGTGATCATGTTCCCTGCTGTGATCCTCCAAACACTCTCTAAAAGTAGCATCATTGTTGGGACTGCTTTTTCAGGTGTCCCTAAGCACTTGGGAGCTGAGGTAGCTGAGTCACCCTTGTTCATATCCAGCACCATCTGTGGCGTAATGTGTTCCTGGAGAGTACGTCCTATAAAGTAAAACCCTGTCCAGCTTTAAAGAAACATTTCTTCAAGTTGAAATTCATTGTAATTTTTTCCCAATGTGGTCAAAATTGATTACTTGGAAAATTTATACAATATACCCAATCCTACTATCTTCCGAATCCTCCTAGATCCATCTTTGTGGCCATTCAAAAGAGAAAAAGTAAGACTGTACCAGGTCTAATTTGTGTTGTTCCTATACTTCTTGGAGCATGGTTAAAGTCTCACTGGCCAGTCCTTTAAAGATAACTGAGTCCTCCAACAGCCGCCCCTTCTGCCACAGCCATCAAGTTGAAGAGCTACACTTCAGCATCCTTATCAGAGTTTAAGGACTCTCTTTATTGCCTCCTATCTAGACTGTTTCTTTTTTTCATGGTAGGGGAGAAAAGTCTTCTGTGACATCTTTCTCATTCTCAGTTATGAGTCTGAATTTGCAGATACCAGTGCAATGGCAGCTTCCTTGCCCATAACAGCCAGTGACAGTACAGATCATTGACTTCCACATGGTTTCTGGTGATGGCATGGACCATGGACACCAGCATAACCTTCAGATTCAGCACAGCCCATGGAGGTCTTTTGAAAAGGCCTCATCCAGAACATGAGCCCTTCCTCTTCTCCATTAGTGTGAGCTTCAGCAGCTCTGGTTTCACTTCTCTCTGATGCTTCCTGGAGCTCTGTTCAGCCATTATTTTTTTTTTTCAGTTTAATGAGAACACTTTTACAGTAATCTTCCTATAATACCTGTCCTTTTTAGTTGATTCTAAGATACTGTGCTCTCCCAGACTCATCCTCTGTTGCCTCCTCTCCCCTCTGAGCCTGCACGGGTCTCTCAGGCTTCTGAGGATGTCAGCAGCCACTGCTATCTTCAATTGATCACAATTGTAAATTCTTAGAAAAAAAATTTTGATTCAATCCCAGTTTTTCAAAATCCAGCTTATCACCACAAACTCATCACCTGAATTACAGGATTAAAAGCCTGTATTTCCATGGCCATAGTGGTCATGAGTTTGGCAATACATTAATTAACATGAATCAACCTTGATTATGAGAGAAAGAAAGGTCTTGCTTTTCTAACTACTTGTATATCTGGTTACAGGTGATATTTTGAAACCCTGGCTCACAGACCAACAATGTTGTCCAGGTATTACAGGACCTTTCTCTGCTAGAGCCCCAAATAAGGTAAGTCTCATTGCTGATGAAGAGCAGGGTCAATCATATATTGCGAATTTAAAGGCCTGGTGCCTTTTTCTGTGTTTGAACTGGTGAACCTCATTTATTTACTCCCTAGTTTTTATGTCTCACATTTTCCATATGTTAGTCGTGGGATCACAGAAAACAGGTCAATACTGTGAGAAGTTTGTCCTTAGAATGCATTGCACTTCTGCTCTCAAACACCCTGACACTTAGAAAGCATTCAAGACAGGCTTGTGCTGGCCACAGAGGTTTATTCCCTTCTCTTTCTTCTCACTTTTATTCCTGAAAACCTCAATACCAGGAACGGAGTCTTCCTGCTTCACTGTCACTAAAATGCTCTTGAAGACTTGAGCACCATGGGTACTGATTACATTACTGAGGGAACCCATCACAAATCCTTTTGCTTCTAGCTGGGATTTGCACTGTGGAAGGCGTGAGTAGGGCTTGCTCCAACTTGGGGTGTTCCTTAACTGTTTTGGCGATATCAGAAGCAGCCTGTGTGGTAACTGATGGGTTAAAGTTAATGCACAAGCCTCTGATGTGTGCACAACCACTCATAGCTATGCAAAGTCTTCCAGTGCTAATCTCAATAGCCTGTTTGTAGGTTCTGTCCCTTAAGTAAAATGCTATGTAAGTTCTTCTTCACATTGTATCAAGAGACAGAGATATCCATCCGTAGTACCTACTCTATCACATTGCTACCATGGCAAGGGGATCCTAGTCTCTATTTGTTCGCTAGAGTTTTTGAGGTGAGTCACCACATGTGGTGTTTTATTTGCTCTAATTTCTCTAGTGAGAGGTTTCTAACACACACAATGTGTGTGTGTGTGTGTGTGTGTGTGTGTGTGTGTGTATGTGTGTTCCAGATTGCTAGGATGACAGAATGGCTGTCTGGATGACAAGATGGCAGGAGATGCGATTTGATGTTCCCCATTTTCTTTTTTCTGTCTCAGAGCAGGAGTACCATCGGCAGACCTGACGACATAACTCTCCCACCTCAAGAGAGGTTCCAGATTTTAAGTTTTTTGGGGCAAAACATTGAGATCAGTAAAAAACTGCCCCTGCTCTCATATGTCCACCTGAAGAAGGACATCCTACAAATGGCAGAGGACTATGAGAAACAGGGGCTCATACAAGAAGCATTTATAACGCATCACAAATTTTTAACGTGAGAACCTGCAGCTTTTATCTCCTTTTCTGTGGCTGACCCCTCAATCTCCCCGTTCTCCTTTTCATGCTTCTCAGTCTTGCTGACCTTATGGAATTTGACAAAGACATAATTTACTCAGAGTTTTGGCAGCTCACATACGTGTTTTTCCTTGCTATTCAAAGACGCGAGGACCAAAGTTGTTGGTATCACCAAAAAGGGACTTCATGAGTAGTTCTTGAGCTTGTCCCCACATGGTGCATATTTTAGACAAAAGAGATGGCAGGTAAACAGACATGTCTGCATTGCTGGGTCTTTTGATTGCTTTGTCTTGACCCAGGCGTCCATTCACAGGCTTATTGGTGTGTTTAGCAGAGCCCAGATTTCTCTGCTCATTATCCTATAGCCTATTGGTTGGTATAGGAAGAGGTTAGCCTATCCTGTAGCTAAACCATCACCAGAGGACCGTGGACTACCTGGGGTCATTGTGGCTCAACACAGTCCCTATGCCGTTCATCATAATTTGGTAGGCAGAATAACTACAAGATTACAGAACTGTCACCAGGGAATAGCTCCTATATCCTCAATGACAATCTTTCTGTGTATGAGGAAGGAAAAGACAGTGAGGGTCTCACCAGTCATGTCTAGTCTGAGTATTGTAAAACAGAACCAAAGGAGACAAAGGCATGTGACCCTAAGGAGCTCAGGCACCTGGGAGGAGCTCCCTGGGCATGACTTCATTGATGTTCTGAAGACTCTGTGTGCTGACTAGGCATATCACCTTCCTGGTCCACAGAGGAAGAGAAAGCTCATGGTTAGAGTTGAGCTCAGGTACCACAGTTTGCAATTCTCAGGTTGTGCCACTTCTAGAACAAGGGTTCATTTTGGTTTCCGTTGTTGGTATTCTGCAAGTTGAAGGAAATCCTTTGAGATCACAGTAAATATCATTCTCATATCCTCTTATTTCTACAGAAAAATAACTCTTGTCAAGGCAATTATGCGTTCTCTCAAACATCAGTTTATCACACTCAGTATTCGATAACACCCTCCACTCAAGAATCTTTACTGGTTTTGAACTGACCTGAGTATTGAAGCAGGTTAGCTAACCTACTTCAACACTGGGTGGAGAATCACACTGGGTTCCACAGCATAGCTCACCCTAGTTCTGAGCAACATTATCTCCTGTCCTTACCTAATGTTCTCTGAGGTGAGGCTATGTCCTGAAGGAAACAATACACTAAGGTGTCATATGAGCAAAGATCCGTGTTGTTATTAGGAGTAGAAAAAATAGACAACTGTTTCCTGTTTTGAACTTCTGGAGAATGGCCTGTTTTCTCAAGGTTCTGTGAGTCCACTAACTCTATCTGCTGCCTTCTGAGTGCTGGGATAACAAGCACACACCATGTCAGTTTAACTATACTTCTTGATAACTTATGTTTGTGGAACATCCCTGTCGACAGAACAGTGGGGACCTTTCTCTCTCCGGGCCCTGAGAGGGAAAGGGATGTGGGACTTCAGGGTGTGCCCCTTCTCACTCACTTCTGGAACTCTTCTGTACATCTTAGTCACTGTGCTTTATTCTTTTAGACTATTTGTGGAGAAACTAAGAAAAGGCCCAGAATATAACACCATCCTTTCACGAAGACAAAAATCAAAAATCAAAAAGGTAGGTCTTCATTGTCTATATGGCTGATCTAAAATCTCCAGAGCAGTAAGGACTTAGAGAAAATGGACAGATCCTGACCTTGGGTGGGAGGAGAGCTGATACTGCCTCAGCATAGCAGTACAGGGGAGAGGGATGGCATGGGATGGGGATCAAGTCCTGCATGAGTCACTGCTGCCTCTCCCCACTTGTTTCCTTTCCCTCTTTTCTGACAGTAGAACTGTTTTAATTCACCATTATGGTTTTTTATTGCAGTGTATAAATAAGGTATTTGAAAAAGCTGAGACCCTGAAGATCAAAATACTAGAACGCTATGGCAGGGAATATGAAGAGTACCTGGCAGATAAGGTCAGTGTGTGAGCATAAAGACAGGTGGTTTTTGAGTCACCAAGTCAGCCTGTGTCATGGGATTGTGTTGTATTCTTTCAGTGGAGTCTGTGGTCCAATGACTAGGACCAAAGCCAACATATATGCACACACACACGTGCAAAGTACAGTAGGGTACTGAGAGTATTGAGATTTAATTGTTACTTAAGACAACTATACAGCAACTGGGTAAAGTGATGGTGATTTTTTTCATTAGTACCAGATTCATAAAACATCACATGCACCCTATGTTGAGACGTCAGATTGAATACAAATACACCTTTTAATCTCTTTGTTGACAAGGCTTTTTCTTATGAGATTTGAAGTATTAGCCTAAACCTGTTTCTCTTTCTATAGAAAAAAAGTCAAGAAGTGGAAAAGAACAAGGCCTTCTTGGAGGATATCAGAAGTATCCTTAAACACTCCACAGAATTAACCAATCAGAGTTCTCCTCAGACAGCAGTGGTGTGTGACTCACAGGGAGCTTTTACAGAGATGGTCTGCACCACATCAAAGTCTGGACCTCCTTGTGCAGATACTAAGGAGGAGAAAAGCCCCAGTAAGTCACCACAGGCTCATGACTCGACAAAGCCTTGTGAATAAGCCAGTGCACTTGTATCAGCCACACAAATGTGAGAGTGCTTCAACCCTTTTCCATTTCTTCCTCCTTTGGTGTCCATGGATTCACTTTGCTGTGTTAATAGAACCTTGCGTGATGAGTGTTGTCTCTTCCCTTTCTGCCCCCCCCCCCCCCCCGACTGTCTTGGAAAAAATAGGCTTTAGCTTATTTTAAGCCAGATTAGTTTCCTCAGAACTTGTTGGAATTAAGATGTTCATCTTTGCAGAGCTCTGTAGAGATTTGAAGAAGCACTTTAAGAAAATACTGAATCAAGTTTCTTGAGTTCTTTGTATATTTTGGGAGATCAGTCCACTGTGGGGTTNCCAGAACTTGTTGGAATTAAGATGTTCATCTTTGCAGAGCTCTGTGGAGATTTGAAGAAGCAGTTTAAGAAAATACTGAACCAAGTTTCTTGAGTTCTTTTTATATTTTGGGAGATCAGTCCTCTGTCCACTGTGGGGTTGGTGAAGATCTTTTCCAAATCTACTTATGGATCTATTTACATTTTCCTAGATGTTCATATCAAGTTATGTCAGTACCATTTGTTGAATATGTTTTCTCCTTTAAATTCAGTTATAAATGGGAACTCTCAGTAGATGAATCTCAAATGGCTGAAAGACACTTAAAAATGTTCAACATCCTTAGCCATCAGAAAACTGCAACTCAAAACACTCCGAGGTTCAATCTTCCATATGTAAGAATGGTCAAGATCCAAAACACTGATGCCAGCATACGTTGGAAAGGATCTGGTGTAACTGAAACACTCTTCCATTGCTTGTGGAAGTTCAAACTTGTGTAGCCGCTTTTTAAATCAGTATGGTGATGTCTCAAAAAAATAGGAAACAACCTACCTCAAAACTCAACAATACCTATTGGGTATATACCCAAAGGATGCTAAACATACCATAAGGACATGTGCTCAACTATGTTCATAGCAGCACTATTTGTAATAGCCAGAACCTGAAAACAACCTAGATGCCCCTCAACTACAGAATGGCTAAAGAAAATGTGGTACATTTACACAGTGGAGTACTACGTAGCGTTAAAAATAAAGACACCTTGAAATTTGCAGGCAAATGCAAGGATCGAGAAAAACACATATTGAGAGATGTAACCCAGACCCAGAAAGACAAATACAGTATGTACTAATAAATAAATGGCTTCTCTATATAAATCAAATAAAAACAAACCTACAGTCCTAACCAACAAACAAAGAATACACTAAAACAGATATACATGGATCTATAAAGGAAGGAGAAAATTATAAGGACTCGTGAGTAAATTGGGAGTGTGGGGGTCATGGGAGAGGTTAAAAGGAGATGGGGATAAAAAGAGGGAAGCAGAGAAAAATGTATAGCTCAATAAAGAAAATACTATACCATCTCCCATGATAAGGAATGTGCTAGCACTGCAGGGCAGGCTCGCAGATATTCTTATGGTATTTGTGGAGATGTGAAGGTAAAGGAATTTCAGTTGCCTGAGATTGTTTTTAGCATTTGGCAGACACTCATAGGAAAATCTCAAGTAGGACCAGGGAGATGATGACTCTATTCATAAATGGCTAGTGTGACAGTGTTAGGACCTGAGCCGGAATCTCCAGATAGCATGTGACAGCAGGGTACAGTTGGCCACCTCTACATTCATCTTTTCAGGTGATATTGGTTGGGGAGACAGGAGAAGACCTGTTTTATAGAAGCACAGCTATCTGTGCAGACACAGAGGCACAGAAAAGATTCTATTGGACTAAAAATGGCCAGAAAAGGCCAGCACTCCAGACTGTCACACGCATCTGTAGATGTGCTGAAGCACCTATGCATTCTGGCTCACACATGAATGAGCACACTCTGTAGAACACACAGATCATGGACACACATAGTTCATAAGTTAAAAAGGGAAATCTGCAAAATTGCAGAGAAAAATTATCAAATATTTCAGTTCATTGATTTTATTTTGTTTTTTTTTTTCTTTATTTTTTTATATTTTTTTTGTCATTTGTATCATCTGGCTTTATAGCCTGAATAGGCCTGACTCGAGGTCTTGATTCTTCAGCAATCAAATGCTGAAATTTCAAGTTTGCATCACCAGGGCTGGCTTTTTTGAAGTGTCTCTCAATTAGACACTGGCGAGAGAGTCAGCTTTCCCCAGCTGTGAGCCTACACAGTCAAGAATACATATTTCCAGATGCAGGTAAGAGTGTCAGGCTTGGCCAGCCTTGAGCCTGTGCACTTGGCAATCTACACATCTGCACAGTATATGGAAGGAGCAGGAGGAGGCTCTTCAGTTCCTATTGGACTGGGAGAAACAATCAGGAAAGGATTGACTGGTCCCAGCTAAGTCGACAACCTGTCCCTGGAACTTTACTGGGGTCAGTGAACAATCTTCACTCAGTCTGGGGCTGTGACTTTTCTAGGTTTTATGTGCATATGGATGGCACTGTAGGTCTAGGGTCTCAAGTGTCTCTCCCATCCCTGCAACATTCCCTATTGTGATTGTCTATGGTCATATGACCTTGAGAAAGTCTCTGTGTATCCACTGAAAATTTGAAGAGGTTATTCATAGCCTCACAGTTCTTGGGTAAAATAGTCTACACGACTGAGCATGCCCACAACAGGAATTCTTCAAGGTGGAAGTTCTGGATACTAGAAGTTTGGCTCAGTCTATGTCTGGCACAGACCATGGAAGCAATTTTAGGGAGACTCATGCTCAAGAGCCGTGAGTATGCAGGGAAACAATAGTCCATACCTGAGAGTACAGAGTCTAGCAGAACTGGATGTCTGAATCATGGATTAAGAAGGCAAGTCTGTTCCAGAAGAGATACAATGGAAGTTTCCCTCTTTTCTGTCTGTCTGTCCTCTTTAGCTCCCAGATGGCTCCATGTTACAAACCTGAGTTAAGAGTGGACTTTTCCCACTGAGTATGCGCACCTACATAAAAATTTCTATATGATCAACTCACCAGAAATATGTTGTTCCATTCTCTAAAGCAGACAGTGAAGTTCATCCATATGGCTCCCATATAGCTGTGGGATGTACTAAGAGAAGATACTCCATGCCTGCTTTATGGCTCACTCATGGGGAGGGAGGCTCCTGGAGAGAATCCAAATTATATTGTTTTTTATCTCCAGGCTGCCGGGCTGAACTCTGCTCAGGGACATTAGGCCCTATAACCTCAGACTTCTCTCTCTCTTTTGCATTACAGTTCAGAACACCAAAGGCCTCCTTCCTGTGGTACTTCCCAAGGACCTGTGTCAAAACTTCCTCCGTTCAGCATGGGAGAACACCAAAAGAAAGAGAGAAACATGTGGAGTGCTATGCGGCAAACTGGTAGAGGACTCATTTCTGACATGAGACTGTTTTTTTTCTCCCTTGGTTCACAATGGCTCCCAGAAAACATATCCAGGCTATTTCCACACATATCACTCCACAGAGGAAACCTTGGGTGACGAGGCCTGGTCACCTTGAATTTGATGACTTTGTATTTGGTTACTTTTCAGAGTCTCTTGAATTAAACAATTGGCTTCAACAGTGTAGTTAGGAATTTCCATTCTACTGGTGGTTAAAGCCTATAATCCTAGTCATTTGCAATCTGAGGGTGGAGGCTTTCAACAGTTTCAAACCAAGCTCAAACACAGAGTGAGACACTGATGTAAAAGCAGGCAGGCTTGCAGGCAGGAAGGCAGACATGAAGCATGGAGACATGCAAATTGACTGATTCTACAAGGAGGAAGACTCAGTTCCTTCTGTGGCCTGGTCTGTGCCCTTACTGTGTGGTAAGCCTTGGAATATACATTAAACACCTTAAGATTTCTGAGGAGACCTACTGGCTGCTTCAGGGAAGACCCTAGGCTCAGGATGTGCCAAGAGGGATGTTTCAGGTTCAAATCATTACCTGTGCTTTTAAACAGTACCCCAGCAAAGCAATGGAACAGTCAAGGTGATGAGGCCCTGAGGTGAGGGAGGAGGCTGAGAGTCACTCACTGGGGTAGGGGCTTCACTTCCTTGTATTATGAGAAAGGGGGATTGACAGTGCCAGGACAAATTGTTTTCTTTCTGCAGGTAAATGACAAGTACATCATTTCCCATATCATTATTCCCATGCAAAATGGAGGACCTGACTATTGCCAAGCCGAGAACGAAGAAGAAATTTTATTCCTAGAAGAAGAACTTGGTCTTATAACGCTAGGTTGGATCCATGTAAGCAAATTGACCTCCCTGTTGGCCTCTTCTCACTGTGCTAAGCAAATTGACCTCCCTGTTGGCCTCTTCTCACTGTGCTGCCTACATCCTTCTGTGCCCAGAGTCAATCCATGCCAGATCATCCAGCTCTGAGCACATGTAGTCACTAGTGTTCCAGGGTTGAGGCAACGGTGCATTTCCTGGTGCATTTCTAGCTTTCTTAATTCTGTCTCTTACTCGAAGTAATTCTTCAAAGTTCCAGTTCCTTGTGAGTGGGTGGAGAATGGTAGCTTCCCTAGGATGTAAGAGAACATGGTGCAGAGACCATGTAGCTAAAGCCAATGAATGGAAGTCTTCTAACTAAGTCAAGAGAATTCTTTCTAATGATTGAATTTTGTCTTTATGAAGAAACACTTGGTCTGTGAACACCCAAATGTTCCTTCATGTATGGTTTTCAAGTGGTTGGAAAAGATGTGCAGGCTTGTGGTGATCTTCAAGAAACACAGTTCCTTCCCTAGAGAGTGCTTCCAAATGATTCCCTCATTTCCAAAACCTAAAACACACAGAAATTGAAATGAGACTGGGGTAAGCCACAATTTTCTAGGTTTTGAGAGATCTCAAGTACCTTTTCCCCCACAACTTGGGAAATTCTGATGTGGGAGACAGATTCCTGTGTCTTCATGCTTCAGTTGCATAAACCTTTACTGCTTTGCCTAACAATAATATGCCATGGCAGATGGAGATCTGCCCTTTGTGCCTGGACACAAGTGGGGGATCACACAGAGAAGGAACACCAGCTCCCATGGGGCAGAATGCAGTCTGCCCTATTCTCCAGGAGGTAAATGCAGAGCACTGTGGGTTCCAGAGGAAGCGGAGTCTCATATGAGCTGATTTATGATAAGTAGTAAAGAGGGGCCAAATGACAGCTTCATGGGGGAGCATTCCTATGTCAGAGAGCAGCTTCATTGGCTGGGATTGGCCATTGGTATCAGAAAAGGATAGTAGATTTTTGTTGGCATGACCCTTCAAAGTCATGCTCTCAATTGTCAGGTGTGGGCATGAAGAACAGTGGTCCTTTTGAGGAAAGGGAGAGCTCTTTGGGTTATTTTCAGCAGAACAGTGATGTGACCAAAGCCAGAGTCCAGAACCTAAATGAAGGAGTTTCAAGACTGGTTAGAGTTGGAAAGTCAACGGATGTTTGGGAGCTGCTAACGTCCAATGATGATGAGAGGCTGATGGCCATGTATTCAGGAATCTGTGATTTCAGAGATCCAGGAGCTGAGGATTAGAGGGTGTTTAGTCTGTGAGAAGGAAAGCTTAGAGTTGGCTCACAGGGATGACAGGGATCTCCTCATAAGCATGAGTAGGGCATATAGAGAAAGCCTGACTTTGGAGGTGGGGTTCAGTCCTTTCAGTGTAATTTAAGGTACTTGTGAGATATCCCATCCATGAGACCCTTGAGAGAAGATGAAAGGTGATTCGCGGAAGCTAGGTGAAGACAGCAGAAGGAACTTGGTTGCTTCTGCCTGGATTTGACTTATTAAACTTGGTAACTGGGGCGTGCTGCATGCAAGAGAAGTGATTCGTGACAGCAGAGGAGAAGATCTAAGGAGGAGAAGAGGAACACATGGGGCTTGACAGAGCACCAAGTTTGCAGGAGAATGGATTATGGGGTTCTCAGAAGCCACGCAGCAGGGACAGTGGTAGAAGAAATGTAGCATGTGACCCAGGGACAAGCTCCATTATGAAGAGGGTTCAGATCTTATGCTGGATCTGTAGCTCACTAAATAAAGATGGTGGATAATGAGTTTTAAGCCATGTCGGCCAGAGACTGCAAGATTAAAAAAAAAAAACCCATAGAAAGCTGGGTGTACAGGCACAGTCCTGGAATCAAAGAATTGGAAATGGTTTGATCGTGGTTCGGTTTTGTCTAGCTTTTTGTTTTGCTTTGTTTTCTTGATTTTGCTGTTTTTTCTTTGACTTTTTGTTTTTTAAGTTTAACAAATCTTGATACTTTGAAGTATAGCTCAGTTAGTTGTAAGTGTATATATGGGAAGAGTTTAGTTTAATGCCTTCTTGAGGAAACATATGTGCATATACCACTTAGAGAAGGAAAAAGGAAATTACTGGGCGCCTGGTACAGCTTTCCAACTTGCTTTCTGTGAGATCGACCCACTCTTGCTCTATTTCTTCCACAATTTCTTTCGCGTTCATCCCTGAAGTGTGCCTGCTTCCATGCTATCAGTACTTCACCTTTGCTTCTATCTTGAAAGACAACAATTAGTTACGTGTCTTTTACATCTATTTTGCTTGAGTAAACATTTGCATGGTTCATCCCCACGCTGGCCTGCATATGTGTTTACACCTGCTGAGCCAGTGAAGGTTGGAGGGGAGGGAATGGAAGTGGGAAGTACTGTACCACATCAGGTGGGGCTCCTTTTCAAGAGAAATCATACCCTCCTCAGAGGTAGGATTTAAGGCAGGGAGCTTATAACCCAGAGAGACTGTTGAACTAATGCTTAAAGAAGTCCTGGGAACGCTTGGTGAAGATGGAGGCAGAACAGAGTATTTCCCTGGCAAGATTTGGGGAATCATGTTGAGAGCTAGTTTTTGGAGCTCCTTTGGCTGCCTTCCTCAGTGGATCAGGGATGGTTCTCATTGTGAACTTTTGTCTTCTTTTGTCTTCTCAGACTCATCCCACCCAGCCAGCCTTCTTGTCAAGTGTGGACGTACACACACACTTTTGTTACCAACAGATGCTGCCAGAATCAATTGCAGTGGTGTGCTCACCCAAATACAAACAGTGAGTATGAAGGATTCTTGTCTGAAAGGTACATGAGCAAAATGTTCTATGGCTCAGAACACTTTAAAAATTGTCATACCCAGAGTGTCTTAACTGATTGCTAGAAAAGCCTTCCTTTGAGGTGCCCATTCTAATTAACACCAGCTGCTCTTAAAAGATATTGTACCACCACTGAAGTGTTTCTAAGACAACCCCTCAATAAGTGACTCCAACAGACAGAGGATGAAGAAAGTTCACATTGGACACTGCATACAAGTGTCATCTCTTACTGTCCCCAATGACATGGTAGTTCAAATTCCTCAGTAGAGCTAGTGTTGGGAAAGCAATGCATCATCCTGTATTCTTTTGTAATAATTTTGTACTCTGAATGCTATCCCACAGGGACTAGTGCAGAGAGCTGCGTGGAGTCACATCTGATAATCAGCTCCTAATATTGGCTAAGGTCTGATCACGCAATGATTGTCAACTGCTTGCATATGCGTGAACCTATGGGCAGTGCCCACCTGGCAATCCGGGGTTGGCGGCCCGTGCCTTTTTAAAGGCTGGGAGAGGTTTGCCCGGAGAGAGAGAGAAAGAGAAGGAGAAGGAGAAAGATTGCTGTGAATAAAGTCCTGAATAAACTGCTAGCAAGAAGAGCTCCGGTGTCGCGTCATCCTTGCTGGTTGAGGTGGGCATGACAGTTGGTGGCCAGTATGGGGATCGAACCCGCCACCTTGGCATAATCAGCGGACTATCAGGTGTGGCTCCATGCAGCTCTCTACAGACTAGTATTCCCTGGTTTGTGCACAGCCCCAGTTTGTTCCTCACAACAACTGACCTGAACAGAAGTAACTTATTGCATGATTCTTCTTTCTTCCCATTTCTACTGTTGAGTCCCTTTGTATCCTTAGGGCAATGTTCAAGAATTGGTTCAAGAGAGGGAGGTACACATAGAGGAGAAAGAGTGAGAGGAAGGAGGAGAAGAAGGATAGGAAAGGGGAGGTTAATTAGGACCACGACAAAAAGACAAAGTCTAGCAGAACAACAATGAGAGTGACTGTTGAGGAGGAGTTGTTCCACAACCTCTGCAAAGGACAAGGAGTAGTGCAGGGAAGAGGAATGAAAGGAGGAGAGGATAGAAGAGGGCATTGAGAAGCGAAAGTGAAAGGAGACAGGTCATGGAAAGGAAAGGAGAGAGATGAGAAAAGAAGAGAGAAAAGAGGAGAAGAAAGATGCAAATACGAGAAAGGAAGGAGACTTGGGAAGATTTCTGCCTGACTGTGATTTTGCTTTTTCTCCTTTTCAGAACTGGAATTTTCAACCTGACACCTTGTGGATTGGAAGAAGTATCACTCTGCCCTCGGAGGGGGTTCCATTCCCATAGACATGACTCAGTCCTATTCTGTGTATGTATCTGCATAGAAGAAATTGCGGCCACGTTCCCAGTCAGGACATAGAGCTGATAAAGTTTATCTTCCTTTCTGAGCCTCATGGATGTTCAGCCTCATCACGTACCTTCCTAGAAATCCACAATAACTGTGTATCTAGGAATCAGTGGGCAGTGGAAATAAGTTTCTCATATTTGCAACCTGGTCACTTACTGTCTTTGATGTTGCAGACTATCCTGCCCCCCTTTTCTAATATCTGGGGATACCGATACTATGTACTTTCCAGGTAGTTAAGATAATAAAGGAAGAACTGAGGTGGTCTCTGGGGTATGAGTATGTGCTCAGTATGCCTGATGCCCTGGGTTCCATCCCCAGTAACATGGGGTAAAGGAATAACCAACAAATTATGGAATCCTTTAGCATATACAAGACCTATTCTATTTTAATTTTTATTCATAAATGTCAGATCCTGTTTCAGCTGATGATCTGAATCTCAAGGAAAAGCCATGTAAGATGTGTAAATTAAGCATATTCCCTTCTGGAGATTTGTAGGGTTATCACATGCCTAGGGAGGTGGTTTCTTCTCTCAGGTTGTGTCCGTGATAAGATGATGTATGACCAGACCTTAGGATGTCAGATCAGACTCATATGAATGAGATTCTGTCACTTTACTTCACATTAGCCTGGAGTCATCCATTCACTTTGATTCAGAAGAAATGCAGCAACATAGTGATAGGACCAGAACCCTGTCATATAAAATAGATAAGAGCCACAGAGATTCAAGACAGGCCGAGATCCTGGGATCCGAGTGCTAATTCCAAGAGGTAGAGCTCTGTGTATGTTTTATGTGTAACATAATAAATGCACATGTATAATTGTATTTAATTTGCATCTTACTCCTGCTACTAACATTAGACAAGATGTAATGAAATTTCAGCTGTTTGGTAAAACATGTATGTAATTCACTGGTTTTGTTTGTTTCTGTAACTTCGCTGTGTAGACTTTTAAAATAGACCCTGTGATTTTGATTCTGTGTCTCCTTGGATTTGCACATGTGAGTTTAGTGCCTGTTTGGATAGAAGAGGTTGTCAGCTTCTTACATCACAGACTCATTGCTGGGGATGTGTCTTAGCTGGGAGTGTTCCTGTTTCAGGCACTAGGTCCTGGACTCACTTCCCAGCACTACTGAAATCTATCTTGGTGGTGTTTGCCTTATAATCCAGCACTGGAGAGCTAGTGTCAGGAGAATAATTTCAGTACCTTTCTGAGTTACCTTGGTTATACATTCTAGCCTGGGTCACAATAGGCTCTCTTTTGGTATACTATAAAATTATACATTGTTTAAAAAACAGGAGTTTTCCAAGCCTTAACCACATCTCCTTTTCTCCAATTGCAGGATTGCAGTCACGTAATCATCCAAAAAAGCAGTGTGACCATCACGGACTTGCGATGAGCTAAATCCAACACATGTACATCAGTGGGAACATGCGCGCATGTGTGTGTGTGTGTGTGTGTGTATGTGTGTGTATATATGTATATATATATGTGTGTTATGTGTTGTTTTCCTTTTAGCAACTTTATTTTTGTTATTTTTATTTAACTAAATTTTTTGCATTCCAATGCCAGTTCCCCCTCCCACCCCTTCTCTAGCCTCTCTATCTCCTTACCCCATTCCCATCCATTCCCGAGAGGGTATAAGGCCTCCCCTGGGAAGCCACTAGTGCTTGTAATAACAAATTGAGGGAGGACCAAGCCCATCCCCCCTGAATCAGGGTCCAGAGCATCACATGTGGAATAAGGACTTCCGGAACAAAGTGAACCACCTCACCAGGCCTGGAAAAGAAGAGATGATGACTTCAGCTCTGTGGATTGTGTCAGAGTTGTCTAATCCACATCACGACATAGACTTTGCCCCCTCCTCATACTCGACAGCCCTTCCAGATTGTCCAGTCTGGTAACCATGTTGTTCAGATGAGCATCCTCCTGACTGACCACTCTGGCCACCAAAGAGAACACAACACATCTCTAAACTATGACTGGCAAAGAGAGGGAAAAGCCTTTCTTTGAAGTTTGTAAAGTTTCCTAGATGTGATGACCTCAACACTGAAGCTAATGATTACATCATTAAAATTGGTGTCCTGCATAAGAGATGTCCCAGTACAAAATCACCATCAGTGACAAACTGCAAAGACAGCAGACCATGAACTGTGTGGGGTGCGCATTCTCTGTTAATGTTGGCCCTCTTGATCAAAGAATCTCTCCGGAAAGCATTGTCGTTTCCCATAAATTTGACTAAAGGTTATATTTTATTTTAAAGTGTATTTTGAAACAGATTTGTAGTTTTTTTAAAAAATGCTATTTCTATGATTAAACTTTACTTTTGTGTAAATTTTACTCTTGGGTTTTCCTTCTGACCAAGTTAAATGCGAGTTGTGGTTGCCAGCAAATGGGATTAGCTAGGCACTGGCAGGCCTCGTTGTGCTAGTTGCTTGTTTTCCTTTATTTCATTTTCCTTTTTCTGTTTTTTATTTTATTGTTACTGGATCTCAGTGTGAAGGAATGTCTTGTCTGAAATTCACTATATGTCCATGCTGACCTGAAACTTACCAAATTCACCTCCTTCTGCTTCCCAAGTGTTGGGAGTAAAGACTTAATTGCTGTGATTGTAAACTTTAAATATTATCATTTGAAATTGTCCTGTATGTCTATAATAAATCTTGATCATACTTAGTCCTTACCTTCCTCTCCCACAGTCCTCTAACCCCATCTAAAACTCCATTCTGAACTTGTCAGACTTTTTGTCCAGGGCCTTGTTTTATGAAGACAATTTGCCTATTCCATTTTCAAGTTTGAACAATCCATTGAGTTTAATCAACTTTTTTTATATGCATGTTTGTTGGATTCTGTTGGATCTTGGGCATCTTCCCATTCTTTACACGTCTAGAGAAAATGACTGCAACTTCCCTGAAAGGAGCTATCTATAACTCGTCATATAGGGGTGCAGCACTAGCCCCTATCCCATCCATTCTGGAATGCTGATGGGCTTTAGTGGAGATAAACACAAATGCTGGACTTTCCTTAGTGCAATCGTCTTGTCCTTTACAGAAGAAGAGGTTCAGAGTACTCTTCCCCAGCCTTCACCTCCTGAATTATTTCAGTGTCATTTTATACTATGCATTCTGAGTAGGGAGGTGTGTGTGTGTGTGTTTATATGTGTTTGTGTGCATGCATGAATGCATCCGTGTATGTATGTGTGCGTGTTTGTCTATGTGATATAGATGTCTCATTTGTATCAAACACTCAACACATATTCTCAGCCCTGTGACTAGTAAGTGATTCTAAGCATTATCCATCCCTTTCCAAAAGAAGCTTTTCTGACCAATGGGAAAGCAATACTAATCAATGGAAAAATATATAAATATTTGGAGGGCATCTTGACAACATGTTTATTTAGAAAAATGACAGTAGCATGTTTCCTCATGGGCATTTATCCCAGTGTGTGTGGGCTTAGTACCAGAATTCTAGCATCCACATGAATTGCATCCTGGAAAGTGATCAAAAACCTGACCAGAATGTGCTTAGTTACTCTCATAAATGTAGTGCCATGATTACCTAATGGGCATGTCAGCCCCATCAGTTGGGCATTAAATATGTAGAAACCACAGTTGATCAGAACCCTGAAAACTGCTTTCTCTCAGCTCTGTGCATAGCCCCACCCTGCACAAAGACAACTAGGCAGCATGGAGGAAGTTGGGCTGTCAGTTTCAGGTCATTTCTCTATGTGCCAAGACAAAAAGGTGGTGCCTTCAGCAGTAGGGTCTTACCATCTACTTCTTGTGTTTAACCAAGAGAAATAGTACTAGCCTATATTGTTTTAGAATTCTCAGGCCCTCCTGAGTGAAGATACATAGGGGATATCTCACACTGGGAACATGCTTTTCCGTGACAACCCATGATTTGTGGAAGCAGTTTGAGAACACCTGTATGTTCAATTAGGTCTTCTTGTTTACTTTCTTCTGAAGACTTAATATCTTCATCTTGGGCATTGAAGCCTTTTTAGAGTCCCAGATTAAATCCAACTTAATGATTCAGTTCCCTAGACATCCTCCATGCTACATCTGCCTGTTGACACTTCCAGGACCAGGTGTAGGATGGTCTGTGAATCTCTAGTCAATAATGAATGTTTTTAATGAAGTCTAGTCATTTGTGAAATGTGACAGGTAGAGACTGATTTCTTCTGGACGGCTCAAAGCAGGCATGGGTGGTGAGTATTGCCTTAGCCTTTTCAGACGGAGAATAGTGAGTTCTCACTCATTTCAAAAAGTCAGCACTCAGCAATTGGATCATACATGAAAACCAGACTGATGACGAACCCACGACTAGAGTGCACAGTTTCCTTATCACTGGCCCTGTGGGTGTGTCTGGCTAGATGAGTGCAGGAAGTTGATCTGTAGGTGTCCTCTCTGTATATGCTGCCATTCCATCCCATCCATGTTCCAGGAACCCTTTCTTTACATTTTTCTGTTTCTATCCTTCTCTATTGTGCTCTGACCTGCTCCTTGTCATACTGGCCTAAGTGAAGTCAGAGTTTATATCTTTCCACATCAGAGCTGGCCCTGGAGATACAGATACCCCACATCAAAGACCTACTCACCACAGCCCCAAACATGCTACAGGCCAGTGTCTGTTGTTACAGGACTGGCCTGAGTGTTCCAGGTCATCACTTTTACATGCTCCCAGATAAACAGACCAGGAGGAAAGAAAGCATTCTGATTTCCAGTGCTCCTAAGAGCATAACTCATCTAAAGAGTTTATACAGCACTCAGTGTTGAAGATAGCTGAGCTCTATCATGAGGTTCAGAGTTTGGATCTCAGCACCCACATGGTGGCTCACAATAATCTGTGCTGTAGTTATAGGGGTTATAACTTCCTCTGAGGACATTGGCTATAATCAGGAATACACATACCTAGATGAAGCCTAAACACTCACACACATTAAAAATCAAGAAATATAGAAACACGTTAAGTATAGGACTCTACAATTTGTACCTGCTCATGGGTCTTCCTAGGTGTGCTCAGTCCTGAGGTTGGTTTCTCATTCTGCATTTCCCAGTGCTGGGGGATTGGCATGGCAAATTCTGGAAGAGGAATCACAGAGTTTGGAGTTTATTGCGAGCTTAAGGCAATTAAGACCACAGGCAGCAGAGAAGGTAGAATATGGAAATTGTGCCTTGCTTTATCTCCATGTGTTCACAGACAGCAGCCAATCTCTTTTTATATGCCTGTTTCTTATATCCTGTTTTAGAAATTCTTTTGTGTGTAATTAATTAGATGTAAAGTATTAGTCTTGTGAGCACTGAGCTTTTCAGTAATGGGGGAGTAAAGCTGGTGAATTAAATTATTCCTTCTTTCTCTGGATCAATGACTCCAACTCTAAGTAGTGAGTAACGTCTCTGAAAGCCAAGCAAATTACCAGGTGGCTGCTCATATCTAGCAGCAGCTGGTGAGTAATACAGGTACATGTGTTCAGGTGCACGTGATCCCCTTTTTCCACCTGCAACCTCACCCCTAACACTGATGGTCAGGAGGCAGGCACATAAGCATTTGCCTAAGTGATATGTTTTCTCTTTCCTTTGAATCTTGTTAATACACCTTAAGCAAGTTCAAACACTTGTAATTTAGCAATCAGGGTACAAAAAAAAAAAACCTATTACTTTCCCAATATTAGCCAGGTGTCCTTTTTAACTTTTAGTTTCGAATTATTTTGTTTGTATGATTGTATTACATGTATGTCAGGGTATCATACGCATGCCTTGTGCAGAGAGATCTCAGAAGAGGGATCTGTGTCACATTCCCTGGACTAGAGATATGGTCAGTTGTGAGCCACTATGAGGGTACTGAGAATCAAAACTGGTTACTCTTCAAGTACAAGTGTACTAATGATGAGCATCTCTCCAAGCCTGCATCTTTTACAAAAGGTTAAGTTGATGAGTAAAAGTGCAACCTGAGTAGCCAATACAAGAGAATAAACTGTGATAGAGTTAGGAAATAGTCTTGATGCAAGCCATGTGCAGTTGGCATAACCTCCTTAACTGTCACAACCATCTACTGAACAACAGTAGATTTGTGGAGGATAAGGAACCAAAGTGTAACACTATTACTTTTCCAGAGGAGAAAACATACCTGTGTAACTAAATTATTTTATTACCACTGACCAACTTTATAAATTTAAAATTTAATAAATCAAATATAATATTTATACATATATTGATAGGGACAATTGATAACTTTTTAATATTAGCTAGGTAATAGGTGTTAGAGTTTTCAATGCTTTCCACATTGGTCTTCAAGCCCTTTCACGAGGCATTAGGAGATTTAATTTACTACATGTATTTATGGTTAAATGTTTCATTTTTTGAATATTTTAAGTTTCTATGTATGGGATTTATGCACTGCAGGCATACTGAGTACAGTCCTATGGGTTCTGGGAATTCAGCCAGAGTCCTCTGGAAGAGCATTCAAGGCTCCTCACAGATGAACCAGGTCTTCAGCTACAATGTGGTATTTTATATGTTTTTAGACCTGGATTATACCCTTCTAGCATAAGGGATGTATCTTATTGTTTTAGTTGGGCGAACTAAATTTGACACAGGTTTATATGATCAGTACATTTTGTAGAAATCCTTACATGAGGAATGAGTTGACGTGGGTTTCAACAGTTTTCTCTATTCTTCCTGAGTCAGTCACACTGTGAGTCAGATCCTTGCCACTCATTCAGTGTGTTTATTAGAAACCACAGACTAGGCCTGCAGTGTGCAAAAGAGGAGCCCAGTATGACTACAATATGTTGGTGTAGAAAAGTGCACTAAAGTCACCATTAACTGGGAATGTGGGATCAGAAGAAGCTGTGATGGCCATGTGGCACACTCAGGAGTCCTGAGTCTGTGCCCTTCAGAGGCACAGGAACCTGGAAGATCTTTACCTTTCTCACATGACAAAGGGTGTCCAATGCTTGATGAATATCTAATAGATATATTTTTATTTTTCCCACAGTTTAATTTATGCAATGAAATACTACATATTAAGTAATATTCTAATAGCGTTTTTTTATCATCATTTGGTTTAATTTTAAACAGGAGAAAAAAAGAAGAAAATTCATGTTTTAAAAGTCCTCCCACAGAATAGATTTGTAAAAATTATTTCACTTTTTTGTTTGTTGATATAAACAATGTATTCATTGACTAGTTTATGTGATTTCTACTACTCTAAGGATCAGTGAGATTTAAAAGAATATCCAACTTATATGGCCACTGGCTCAAAGGAATGACACTTGTTGGATTCTTTTGAAATATAAAAATGATTCTTGATACTTCATTACACAGTTGAATTCACACATCCATCACCATAAAACAAATAAAAAGGTACGACAGTTGAAACTAGAAAAAAACAGTCCTATCATCTCCATTTTCATGAGACATACTTCTTTTGCCAACACCCTCTCCTTTCTCACCACTTAATATTATCCTGCTCTTGTTTCCTTTCTAGAGCTTGGATTTACCACATTTTATGCACATTTATAGGTATGTGAATGGGCACAAATTTATACATATATATGTGTTAATGAATGTACTACATATATATGTTTTCCTTTTCAAATATTTACTATTTTCTTTATGAGCATGTGTCTTTAGTGTGAGAATATATTGTCTGAGTACACACTCTCAAGGGGAAGAAGGTGTCAGGTTCCCTGGAGCTAGAATTAGAGATGGCCATAATGTGTGGGACCTCTCTGCAAGAGAAGCCAGCACTCATTAGCCATCTCTCCAGCCCCTGTGTGTACATAGTCAGAACAAACGACCGATTCAAAGAGGGGAATAATTATTTGAAACACCCACCCTCCCTGATGATCCTTCTAGCAATGAAAGGAAGAAGATATCGGGATCAATTTCACTATTATTGCTACATTAGTGCTCTTTCTTACACTGACAATCTTACAAAAACTAAATACCAAAACGCTGACAGTTCCCTGAGCCTTAGGGAACTGCTCCCAGTGATCTCCATGACTCTAGTGATTCTTCCACTCCTCAGTCAGAGCACAGAAAGAAAAGCCCAACAGCAACAACAAATGAAAACCCCACCTCATTTGCATCACTGGTTCAGCTAGTGAAACCCTTTCAAAGGCCCTGGAAATGCTGGAGTTTTACTGTTCTGTGATCGTTTGCTATCTCTTTACATTATTTTAAAGAAATAAATGGAAATTTCAAGTTCTTCCTGAAGTATACCTAAGGATTTCTAGGTACCACCATAGATGTATATGCATGCATTTGTAGACAGCTATCTGATAGTCTGAAACATTGTAAGATTTAATCTTTATTGGAAATGACAAAAGGAAAATGATTGTCAAAATGTTATCCAGATTATGAGCTAAAAAAAAAAAAGCCAAAGAGCCTATCAGTAGGATTAGCTTCCCTGTCAGTTCATTCTGTGCTGTACATAGAGCACATGGAATCCAACTATGGCTGCGCCCCACCCACTGAGCTGTCAGCCAATCTCTCCAAATGCAAACATCCCACTCCCACCCCCAAACTCCCTCTCGTGTCCCTCAAGTTCACCACTCTCACCCCACTCCCTGGCTCTCGAGGCTCCAGGCTTCGTGGCGAGGCTGATTTCTCAGGCTCTGAAGCTGTGCAGCGCCCTGGTCCGTGCAGAACTCAGCAAGCACCAACCGGAGCTCTGCGCATGCGTACTTAGGCATGCGGGGCGGCGGTTGAGAAGACGGTTGGGAAGGGCAGGAACTGTGGCCTCCGAGCCCCGAAACCCACAGTTCAGTTTGCTGTCAGCTGCCCTGTCTTCCTCTCAGTGGGGTCAGTGCCGTATCGCTGAGCCGGTAGGATGAGAAAACCACCGCTTCTTCCCTTCTCAGAGACAGACGCGGGTGACTTCATGGGAAAGCTATACAGTCCACCCACAAAGGCTTCAGAAGTGCAGCTCAGATTTCCTAACAGTAAGACTCCCCTGGCGTCTCCTTAAAACTAGATTTAGAAACGCTAGGGCCCACCTGACATTCACGTCCAGCCCGTGTCTCCTTACACTAAGATTTTGCAGTTAATCTGACAACCAGCATTTTCAAAATGCAGCTGTTTATGCCTGTATTCTTTCTTTTAGATGAGACAATCCACAGGTATGTGTAGGTTCCTTTCCCTTAGATTACTCTGAAGGCTAATCTTGGTTGTCAACTTCACACCCAATTAAGTAATTGCCTTTTGGGGGCTGACCTCTGGGCATGTCTATGAGACATTTTTCTTGACTAAGTGGGCCAGGCTGACAGGTATCCCGAGGCAGGAGAACCTGGGTTGTGCAAGAAAAGTAGCTAGGCTTCAGCCAGGGAGCAAGATAATAAGCCATGTAGTTTCTGTTTCAAGTTCCTCCATTGACTTCTGCTTGCCTTCCCCAGATGATGAAGAACCACAGGCTGTTATATGAAGTCAACCCGTTCTTCCCATGTTGGTTCTAGTCAGTGTTTTATCACAACAATGGAAAGCAAACCAAGAGTAATTTCAAGGTCTGTAATCACTCCAATCTTTTATTGCAGCTTAAGCTCTGTCTCCTTCCTAATGTAAATACTCCCATAATTGTTTAATATTATTACAATATTTCTTTTATATCAGCTTTTCGATTGATTTATTGTAATTGAAAATTTAATCTACAAATGAAAGGAAAACAATTTGCAACGCAAAGTAATTCTATTTCCAGCCCTTTTATTGCTTGAGATGAAGCCACCCATGGGTATATTCAATGATAGTTTTGTGGGGGGAAAACTTGGAGAAGCTTTATGCAAAGGGGTATGTTTATTATCTAGGAAAATACTGGTGCAGCAGAGTGGAAGAAGGGTAGGTCGACTTGTAGTAGCCTGCTATGCAACATGGGGCTTTACCTAGTTGCGACGCAAGCCCACGTGTGTCCAGTGTCCTTGGTCATACAACTGCTTCCTTCTCAGTGTCGGTGAGAGTTTTGTTGTTGGACTCTGGCATCCAAACACCGAGAAGGAGTCGCCCCCAGAAACCACACACCACAGCCGATGCAAAAGCATGAGGATTTTATTAATTCTGTCATGACAGGGTCCGCCAGCATTCAAGAAGCCAAGGGACCTTGAATAGCGGGTACAGTCTACTTTTAAAGGGGCCACAGAAGCAAGGGGAGTTGTTCTTTGACTATTCTGATTGGCTTATTCGAAAGGACTATTACCAATAATTGACTGGAGAGCTGTTGCCAGATCAGATGAGGTAAGAGGTCATTTTGACCCCGTTTCCCAGGGGACCGAACCAAAGCATACGTATATGGGTAATTGTTCAGGAACTGAGTAGTGTGAGTGTAGCTGTTAGGTCCTTGGTTCCCAGGGGAGGAGGGGAAGCACTATGGCACAGAGGCTGAGAGGATTCAGAATTGTCAAAAATGGCTTCAGGATTGTCTTAAAGTCTTACATTGTCAGCTTCACACAAATTAGAGGCATCTGGGAAGAGGGAGCAGCAATTTATAGGATGCTTCCATCAGATTGTCCCCTAGACAAATCTAAAGCATTTTAGTGACTATTGTTTGATGTGACAGCTTTGACCTAGATAGAGCTGTGGAAGAGAACTTTGACTAACACAAGGAGATAGGATATTAGTGCAGGGTAAAAGGTCGGAACCCTCTTCCAGGTTTGAAAACCTATCAAAATACACTAACCCCTGAGTCCCAAAACAAACCTCCCAAGTAACAAAAACACATCAATCCCTGAGCTCAAAATCACACCAATCTCCTGGTTTGACGTGAAATGTCACTGTTTCCCGCCCTGGAAATCTCCAGCTTGGAAAATTCGTCTCCCAATGAAGGCGTAAGTCACGAACAATGCCACACCAGTTTGGAGTTATGAATAGGGTGGTATTAATTTAAAGGGGAACAAACTTACAGATCACCGTCTCAGACAACAGCCCTCTGCGCAACCAGGAAGGGAGTCTAGTCACCAGTGGAGCAGGAAGTGAAGAGCTTGAGCAGGGGAAGTAGCCGTTTCTTTAAAGGGAGAGAGACCACGCCCCAATGGGCTGGTATCTCAGCAGCTATTGGTTGGAGGGGCGGAAGGACCTCCCGCAACATCCCAAGAAACTCTGTATAAGCCTGTCTCCCGCTCAGGTTCCTGCTGCTTTTCTCCTGAGCAGAGGCAGCCACCCTCCTGCTATTTTTCCCCCTGAATCTCCTGTGTGAGATGTGTTGTGCAGTGTGATTTTGTGGTATTCCTTTGCTTCTGATTGCTAGACTGCCTTTTCCCTCAGAGCTGTAACACTTACACAGGGGGAAACTCTCCCCTCATGCTGTAATACTTCCACTGGGGAAGCATTTTGTTTCAGAGCTCAACACGTGTATTACAAAAAATAATCCCCTCAGCCTGGCAACAGAGTCAGGACTGGATGCTCCTTGCCTGAATCCCTCTGTCCTAATATTACGATTATAATGTAGTGCCTGCCTGGGGGAGAGAAAATACTTAAGCCTTTACAAGCTTTCCTAGTGGCAGAGAGAGCTAGGGAGAATAAAAAAGAAAAACAGGGAGGGAATCAAGTTGGTACTGATATACATTCATGCTGTGCCACAAAAAGGATGCATCTGACAAGAAGGAAGAAGTCAGTATGCCTTGAAAGTGTGATCAGAGTGAAGACCTCCTCTCAATCTCAATTTTCTACCCATCCTTGAATGCATTGCTTAAACAGTGAAGCCTAGAACGTGGACAATTTCGGACTCCACCACATTTTTATCATTTTGTGCAAGTCATGATGATTATTGGCAAAATGGGCAATTTCAAAGCCTTACCTTTTCCAACAATTGTAAATCCTACCCAGAAGAGACTTTAGCATGGTATCCATATGACCTTACAACCATCCAGCAGTTTCAAGCTGCTTATCAAGATGAAAGATGTGGTCTCCATATGTAATGCAATTATTAGAATCCATAGACATGAATTTAAATATGCCAAATGATTATAAGCAGCTGAGCTGAGAATGTACTGGCCCTCAGGCTTTTTGACTTGGAAGGCACATAATTATGATTGATATGGACTCCAGGCTGAGAGAAATAGAAACTCAACTGTACCACTGAATATGAATATTTACATGGGGAAGGAGCATCATCTGCTGAGCAGACAACTGGACCTCTGCAGTATTTGACCAAATTTTTCTATTCTCTAAGGCCTTGGGAGGCTGTGCCCTCTTGAGCATACAGAAAGTCTCAGAGATTTAAGATAGGAACCTCTTGGACCTTTTACTAAATCTCTGGCTATAGTACAAAGTTCCTTGGAATCTAAACTGCAGCATGCCGAGACAGCTAGCCTACTGTGATGCCAGCTTGCCTGTGATGGAGCCACAGCAGAGATACAGAGGTTGCTAGGTCTGATAAGGAATGTCCCCCTGGATGACTGGATCCTGGAATGTCAAGAAATAGGAGAGTGCTGCTTAATGGTTTGCTCATCATGGATTGATCAGCCTGTTTTTTTTTAATTTAATTGTTTTTTTTTAATTAAAAATTTCCGCCTCCTCCCTGCCTCCCTTTTCCCCCCTCCCCCACTCCCCATACCCTACTCCCCTCCCCCTCCTTTTCCAGTATGAAGCACAGTCAGGGTTCCCTGCCCTGTGGGCAGTCCAAGGTCCTCCCCCCTCCATCCAGGTCTAGGAAGGTGAGCATTCAAACAAGCTAGGCTCCCACAAAGCCAGTGCATGCAGTAGGATCAAAAACCAGTGCCATTGTCCTTGGCTTCTCAGCAGCCCTCATTGTCCGCCATGTTCAGAGAGTCTGGTTTTATCCCATGCTTTTTCAGTCCCAGTCCAGCTGGCCTTGGTGAGCTCCCATTAGATCAGCCCCACCGTCTTTTATACAATCTAGTTTGGCCATCCCAGGGATAGAATCACCCACAATTGATGAGCTCTCCCCATCAATCACTAATGAAGAAAATGCCCTACAGCTGTATTCTATTGAGGCCTTTTCTCAGGTGACTTCTTTCAGATGACTATCTTGTGTCAAGATGAATAAATGAGCCGGGCAGTGGTGGTGCTCGCCTTTAATCCCAGCACTCAGGAGGCAGAGGCAGGTGGATCTCTGTGAGTTTGAGGCCAGCCTGGTCTAGAAGAGCTAGTTCCAGGACAGGAACCAAAAGCTACGGAGAAACCCTGTCTCGAAAATCAAAAAAAAAAAAAAAAAGATGAATAAATGAACATAGTTGAGCACATGTGCTTGTGGCACAATTGAGCATCCTTTGGATATATACCCAAATGTGGAATTACTTAGTATTGAGGAAGGTTGTTTCCTAATATTCTGAGACATCCAAAGGGGCTGTGCCAGTTTGCATTCCCACCAGCAAGGGGCTGGCAGATTAGGGGTTTGGTGAAAACCTTTTTTCTTGTCTTTTACTTGTGTCCTCATGTCAAAATGGAGAGGTAGAGTTTTGGCTTCTCTTCTGTAGACACCACAGAATCCACATGTGATATAAATGCAATACTTCCAAATCTGTGAAGACAATATATATTGTCTTTAAAAGCAAGGGAAAACTGTAGAAGAGTTTCAGCAGTCGCCTGCCCCTTGTCCCCAGTGTTGTCATGACGTCAGTGTCTTAGCTTTATGGAAATTAGACCTCAGCACAGTTTAGATTCCTTTAGTAGCTTAGTAGAAAGTAGAACATGTTATATTGAACCATGACTACAAGAGAGTTTGGAATATGGCGGGGCACTTAAA